TAATTATTTTTAATCCTGACTTACATATATACAGATTTTAAAAGTATCATAAAATAAATTTGCTTATATAGCTTAAGCCTGTTTCGTTTAATTCTGAGAAATAGGAAGTCTGATAATTTTAGACGCAAGTTAAATAAATTTTAATACAGTAGCCAGTTGCTAAATATTATTCACGGACGCTAGAAAATGTAACAAGAAATTTACCATAAACGTTGAGACGGGCTGCGTGAGTAACTTTTCCAGCTCGATTTTCGGCCGTGCAAGAATATTCGCCTCCATCCTCGACCATTACGTGGCTGATATTGACATGCGATATGACATCACCGTGGACTGTCACGTATTGACCAATGACGAACCTTCGAACATGAATAAGAAATTCGTATTCGATAACTAACAGTCTCCACAGGAAGTTAATGCAGCCATACTCTTTATTAATCGTTTCTCTTATTTATTAGTATACGTAATAGGCAGAAATAACATGGCAGTATTTCCACAGAAAAAGTATCTAATTGAAACCATACATGACGAGCTTTCCACGCAATTTCAACGAAATCCTTCAAGTTAATGAACAAAGTTTTTTTTCAATTAACGATTAACTTCGGTCAGTGGCCGCTCCGTAACTTTCCATCCCCGATAGAGACTGCTTTTCAATTACCGCGTCGCGATGCACGTTTCCAGCTAAAGCCGGCCCAGATTTCAATGAAATTGCTAATTTTATGAGCTCGACGGAAAAACAGTTCTAGCGACGAATTACGCGCGCGCCGCCCGAAGCTACTTCACTTTGAAAGGGGAAAGGAAATGGCCGAGAACCAAGCGGGACGGCGATATAAAACGGCATGGGCGAAGAATCACAGAGCTCCTTTTATGTCGATTAGTCGTTAAACCGTACGAGAGTCTCGTGTCATACCCTCTCGAGGTCTATCTTCCTTTGCCTTTTCCTGTCTTCGGCCTCGCTGTTAAGTCGTTCCCGTTCAATGGCATCCTGATAAATATTCCGGGATTCTTGCCGAGATATTGCACTTGAAATTGAAATTGGCCGCGTCGTGCGACAGATCCGACCCCTCGACTATCAACACCGCCCACGAGAAATTGCATTCTAATTACGAGGCATCGAATACGCGTTAAAATAAGCATTCGTGAGTTACAGCCGCGTTCTTTGCGTGCCGATTGAACGTTGGCTGGGATATTTCATCCCTCTCTCTGTTTGGTCGTCATTGAGACAAAGAGAAACTATTTACTGATGAATTTTAGTTTCATATTAACGACTGAATTATATATTATTGCTTTTTGCTTGCAATTAAAATTCGTACTTAAATAATTATAGATAGGATAGGGCTATCTAAACATGTCATTTTTATAGCCACAAGTGGTGCAAAAAGGTCTTGTACAGTAATGCAATAATTTTTTCAATTATAGTGTTTCGAACGTTTGATGCAATTTGTACATTATAATCTTTTCGTTGCTTGTAGGACTTCCCTAATACATTCTTCACTTCTTTATACCTATTTTTTACTAGTTATATATTACTAAATGTTACGAAGACTATTAAAGCGGCCATAAATGACACATCCACCCTGTATAGTACAGGTTTGTTCCAGTGCGATATATACATATTTAATAGTAACTTCTAGCGGAAGCCATGGTCGCTCAGGTTAAATTAATTACAGCTACACTTTCACACCAGTTGATGAGACAATTAACGTGCATTTATAGCTCACGTTCTCTTTAACATAGACAGTATCTGGTTACGAACAATTTAGTGTAGCCTACCTTCCGTTAGTTGGTAGGGGAAAGCCGTCCAACGCCCAGGAGACCTGCGGTGTCGGGTTCCCGGCAGCAGAACACTTTAAAGACACAGCGGGTCCTGGTTGCAACGTTTGCTCGATGAATGAGTACAGCAGCATTGGTGGTGCATCTGCAAACCAGAAACGAAACCATAATACTTACAAAGTGTATCTCATTTAACAAAGTCTGTATTATAATATCAACATTTTTTATCAAATATGCAATTTAAAGTTATTATTTTGTATGTATAAGTACAGATGGTTTTAATGAATGTGCTACAGAAAAATAAAAAAGTTATACATATTTATATTTTTAAACTGTTTTTGCACTTTTTGGTTATCAATATCGTAAAAGGATGTTTTCAATTTTCTTCCGTTTCCCATTTCCCTTACAGCACATTGTGTCCGCGGTGTTGTACGACTTCAAAGAAGCATTTGAAGCGCGCGTGGTTATGAAACGTCCAGAGAAAATATCCAAGGAAATATCAGGCAGTGAGACGAATTTTTTTTTAACCGCATTGTGCCACTCACAATTGCGTTCTATCGTTAAAAAATTTTTCTATTTTTATTGTGGCAATGAAAACTAAGGAGAAAGAACGCGAAGGAAGTTGAACTCGGAGCCTAATCGCGGGTGCGACTATTCGATTTGTACAATGACTTGCGACGCAATCGAATCCATCTCGTTAAGAACGATACCTCGGTCGCGTCGGTGGGAAACGGGAGAAAAGCGGGGAACGGGGTGGGGGAAAGTAGAAATCCCCGTTTCTCTTGGGGAGAAGAAAGAACAAGAGGCAAAAGCGTGAAAGACCACGACGGATCCTTGATTCTGAAAGCACCCACGCCTGCCTGGCTCCGCGATAGAAAACGGAAAGACAATGGACTCGCTGCGACGGAAGCAGAAGCGCCCGGAATATTTTTTTCTCTCTCTCGATGTTTCTGTCTCGACGACACGACGACTGGGTGGAAAGGGGTTTGAAACCTCGGTCCTGGGAAAGGGAACGAAAGTATAGTGGAAAGATAGAAAAAGGAGAACGCGGAAGGTCCAAGATCGAAGCCGAGGCGGCACGCGAGGGGAAGAGACTCGCAGGATGAGGAATTTTTTCATAATTAAAAGTGTCGATTTCGTCGTCATTAAAAATATTCGAGAGCTCCGCTACAAAGAACAGTTTCGTTCTCTAGACGAAAAAAAGAGAGAAGGAGAGGCAAGAGGAGATGGCTAGAACAGTTTCGTCTACGGCCTACGGTGTATTGCAGGCAATGAGTGGAAACGATGTTCGTGAATCCGTGTGGAAATTGATGAATCTCGTCTCGATGCCTCCGAGCAATCGTCAATAGATAGTCGCGATACCGCGAAACCGAGGCAAACCTGCTTCAATAATACAGAATTTCTAGATAGTATTTATTTCGTATGTCTATCTTCGAACAGCAGTGAAGGAAGCGAGGGAGTTATAAATGTCAGAATGCAAGATTCTCATAAGGATAACGGATTCTCAGGATAAACGATAATATAGGATTTTATTAATGTTTGAAGATTGGTACGACAAAACACGATTTCGTATTTACTTTTGTAAATGATATCCTACATTATTATACATAATTAATACTGTCATATAAGATTGTCGATGTCAAAAAGTAATAAATATTCGTAAATGAATTTTAATAAAAAAGATGATGAATCTTCTTTATGGAAAGAAAAATATCATAATTTGCAAGATTTTCATATCGTCCGAAACAGAATATACGAAGCTGTGAATCTTCATTCACAGAGTTCAAAATATGACGCAGGCTAGTTTGTGGTCGCATCCACGGGGACAGCGAGATTTTCTACGTATATCGTAGCTCATAATTTTCACAGGAACGTAATATTCATGGATTTCACAGTTATGCTTTTAATATACGCAAAGTCACTTTTCTTTCTCCCTCCTTCGTATCTTATGATATTAAAAGGGGAAATTAAAGGATCTACGGATACGTCAATCGTCCACAAGAGAAAATTGGTCTGCAGATTAGCGACTAGTGATCGAAACGTAATTTTTTTTCTGTTAGCCTTTAACTCGTCAATATAATAGGTTTTTTTCCCAGAAGACCTTTGGCTTCTTGTGTCAAAGGCAAATTCTAGTTCTCTCTTTCATTCTCACCTTTTTCCTGTCGCAAAATTGCAACGAATCGGATATCTTTTTTTCTCTACTCCTCTTTCCTTATCTACCTATCCATGCACTCTCCTCTATCTCTACAAATTCCCTCGTTCCATCTCTCAACGTATATCTGTCTAGTTATAGACAGATATATTTATCTGTTTCGTTTTTCTTTTTCCGTTCTATCTTCCATGTTTCGCTACCTCCGTAACTCTGCCCAGGCCACGGTACGTCCTTACCACTGCTACCGCTTGATCGAATTCCCTTTGACGTAAATTCCGTGCATTACGGACGCTGACGAGCGCTAGACGCTAACTTCATTGTTGTTTCAAAGGCCCTCCTCTCGTTGGTTTCCTTCCGCGTCCCCCTCATCCACCGAATGTTCCCCTTTCATGCTCCACTCTTCCTGTCCATAGGTGGGCGTACATAGGTCCAGATATAGGGCAAACGACCGAGAGAGATGCTTCGTGGTAGTTACCAAAGAGTAAAAGGAGGGAGGAAAGAGAGATGAAACCGGGGTTGATAGCGGCGGTGGAGGTAACGGGAAGTAGAGGCAGCTAAAGCGGCGTAAAAGAAGCCTTCTCCACTTCAAAGCCAGAGGTCTGTTCCTGCCCACTCTCGACATAACGGGCCACGTGGGCGGCGAGCTCTTTCCATAGTAATCGAGTTCCCGTTAATGTGATCGGTAGCGAACGTTACCGATCACGTGATACTTCACAGTGAGTGTCACTTTTGACACGTCCTAGATGCACCCCGTGAGAGGGGTGAGTTCGTTTCACGTAGAGGCTATCGATCAGGTATAAGTATTTTGGGGTCAGTGGTGCGCAATTTCTGTCTATCGATGAACGGAGCTCTTGAGAGGAGCGATGAAAATTTCATATTCGCATTGAGAGTTTATTCAGTCTCTGTGATTAATCAGAATATTTAAGTATTCCCATCGACGTTTATTTAATATGATAATACAGAGAGAAAAGGAAGAGGCATTTCTACGCTAATTATATATCAATGGAATTTTCGCAGGAATGCTGAAGTTTTGAGATGGAGAAAGTAAATTTCTGGCAATGATCTAATTTGCTTTGTGCCCATCGTGAGTGGGAATAGCTCTTCGAAAAGTGAATTTATATATGCCTATATGTGTGTACATAGACCAATTCGATGCGGCCTCATTTGTAATTCTAATTCGTACTGGCACTGCAATTTTCCATATAATTTTGCTTTGTGCAATACAAACCGAAATGAAGCTGAGTATGTGGAATGTGGTAATTGGGATCGAGTGAATCGATTCGAACTGTATATTTGTCTGATGCATCTGATACGTATCTCGTGCGTATGCATTCATGCGTTCAGAATCATATCGCGAATTAATCATTTTTTCAATATCTTCCAAAATACGAGAATGTATAGAATCTATTATAATTCTGCCTGAGACTCGAACATTTCGTACGACTTCAACTTATAGTTTATATTAGCGCTATTCGACTTCTCTTACCTCGCGCACCATTCTTCCTTTAGCAAACATTTTGAGCGTCAAAGAAAGGTAGATAATCAAGAAGACACTTCATGACATGTAAAAAATTAGTTTACTTGTACAAAGAAAATACACTAAAGTGAACTAAAAAAAATATAACATACGCAAGTTTAAGAATATTATAATATCGTAGCTACTGTTATAAGTTTTCTATATAAAATATACTTCTTTTCATCTTAATTATTAATTTAGTTTGACATTTGATGTTTATTCAAATTTAAATTTTAAGTAGTTGATTTGCCTCGAGTAAGTTTACGAATGGCTAGTTGGACCGCGCAGATTTATGCAAATTTTAGTCCTTTTTAAAAATTTCTTTTCGCTTCGATCTGTACATGTATATTAAATTATGTCTCTTTTATCTGGTAGTTGAATACGTTGAATATTTCTTACGTACCGCCTAATTGTAACTCCGCCGAGGCCTGTGCAGTGTCGCCTTCCGATCGTCTGACTATACATTGATACATTCCACGATCTTCCCTATTGATGCTGTTCAGCCTCAGTAATTCTGATTGTCTACCGGTTCCTGGCAGCTGTCGGCCATCCTTGTACCAAGTAACAAAGTGTGGTCCAGCTTGCGGGTGTGTGCTAACCTCGCATCTAAATTCGGCATTACCCCCTAAATGTACGCTCAGTAACGGGGGCGTCACTTCTACGTGCAATGGGGCGGTCACAATCAGCCTGAAGAACAATTTCCTTTCTACTTTACTGCTTGCCAAGACAGATTGTAAGATCTTAATTTAACTTATGAGTACGTAATTTTTAAACAAACTATTTCAAGTATATGAAAGTAAATTTATGGGACACACTATTTTTAAATCTTCTTGAGTTAATTTTAAACTTTCAACTTTTGACATTGAACTCTGAAGTGAAATTTCAATATAAAACGTTCTTATGTATGTAAGTATTATAAATTATTTATTTTACACTAATTACCGTATTTCGGCACTCGCTTCGCCACCAGGGTTGGATGCAGTACAACGGTAAATGCCACTGTCTTCCAGCGTTACAGCTTCAAGGGCCAGAACAGTTCCCAGTAATCTGGTTCTTGGTCCAGAGAGTACCAGCATCGGCTCGGAACCAGTTTGTGCGTACCATCTGAAAATTATCGATTGGAATGTAAATAGGACGTTGAATATTAAATTATTATGTGTTCAACAAAGAGTATTTCTTTTACACTTCCATTAATCGACTTTTTGTATTACACATTGTACACCATTAAAATTAGTATAAAATGAATCATAAAATTTGTAAGATATAACGCTTTCTCGCCTTATTTCCCTAATTATCTTCTTTATATTTATATATTTTTTATATGTACATGAGCGAAGAGAGATTACCCCAAACTACCATCATCTTCATATTTTTTCAAATTCCATGAACAACAAACATTCCCCAAAATTTAAGTACAACCTTTATCATAATCTTAATCAATTTGACATCATAGTTGTATATCTGTACAACGTAATACATTATGTTAACCAGATCCATTAGATTCAGAATATCTCTAGAGTGAATGAATTGCTAGCTTCGTGTTGCTTTCAAATATTTCATCGGTCGACGTATAAGTCCTTTGTGACGATATATGAAAATAGAAGTTGGCAACATTCCATTCCGACTCTGATTCCAAGATTCAGCGAAAAATTTTTAAACGTCTGAGACTTTCGAAGATAACACGGCCTGCATGATCGCGACTTAACGCCAGTACCAACTCTGTTCCCGTTTATTTTTTTGGAGGACGAGAATAATTCTTCGGGGAAAGGCGAACGAAGAGACGTAAAGGGTGCTTCAATTTCACCGGCTTTCGTTGGTAGGACGACTCAGAAACGACATCGAAGCGCATTCACCGGCAGCATTTATCCCAGAGATTCCTCGCCTCCCTTCGTTTTCACAACTTCTTGACAGTTTTTCGATCGTGGCACATTCGTCGACTCGAACCACTCCAACGTATACCTCTTACTCTTTCTTCTTCTTTTTTCCCGCTTTTTCCTTGTACTTCACCTCTGCTTGGTACTCTTCTTCCGATTCATTCCAGGACGTCGTTTCTCATCTTTTGCTCGTTTCTGGATGCTGCGATACGTAACAGAGTCGGTTTCCTGGGGGAATTTCAGTTCGAGACGAGCTCCAACGGTAAGAGTGTAAGAAGTTAGCACTGAAACTTGTTCGGCAGAGCAGTTTTTCGATTCTCTCGAGGGTTTTAAGACAGCATCGTGGGACTTAAGATGTTTTATATGTAAATAACATAAAAAGGATCGAAATCTGTATTATATACATTTAATTTTTTGCATCAGAACAGAAATTACTGAAAATTTTAATGCATTTTTAATCAGTTATAATTTTTTAAAAGTTAACGGCCTTGAAAAAGACTGAAGTAGATAAGAAAGGGGAGGGAGAGTCATAGACAGGAATATTGGAGGTAAGTGAAGGAATAAAGACTGGGCATGACTTTGATCGAGGAATAGTGGGAGTACTCGAACATTTGAAGCTTCGCGAACGGAGCACAATCGGAACTCTCCATGTTGTTCACCAAGACCAAGATCTTCGAGGAGTATTCCATTCTCCAGGCTTTTCTCCCTTCCCTCTCACGGAATTTCCGGATCTCTTTTTCTTAGTAGATCTACGGAACTAAATCTATGCGCGAAACAAGAAACGTCGACCACGTCGTCGGCCAACGGTATGTGCCAAGCTGTTTTGCGGTGAGCTTGTTTGTACGATATGCAATCTCCTTGTCTTAAGGTATCGTGGCTCGAAGTTCTTTTTTTAAATCTCTCTCAAATAGTACTTCGCTTACTTCGCGCAATTAAAAAAGTTAATCTGCTCTACAGCATAGTTTTCTGTGTGAAATTGAATTTACTTGAGATTTTTCGTATGAAATTTCTTTCTCATTAGTACTTGTTTTGGTCGCTGTGAACTCACACACAGTCGCAATCATAGTGGCTCGTAATTACAATGTTAAATTTGTTTGCAAGACAATTGAAACGTTTAATTTATCAACAAACACATTATCGGTTTTCAATTGTTTGTAATTACAATTAACGCTTATTACGATTATTGGTGTAACACCATTGTTTATATTTGACAGTCACTTAATCAGTTGCGAGCGTGAAGGTATCTTGGTCGATTCGACCAGATTGCTATAATTAATCTTCTTGAATGAAGACTCACCGATATTCTGGAGTAGGACAGGCTTGCGCCACGCAGACTAATGACGTTGATTCATCTTGGCCGACGTGAACCACGCCGGAGTTTTCAAGAATCACTGGAGGCATCACCCCTCTGTGATCTGAAAGGGGGGTAAAAATGGTCCGCAGATCGATTAATGCGGCGGGTAATTGGAAAAAAACTTCGCCAATTTCACCGAGGTTGAAAAATCAGTTTCGCCAATGGGGTGAGTATTATTACCTGCTATCCTGACGTTGGCTACGGTACTGACGACCACCTGCCTGGTGAGACGATGCATCGTTCGACATCTATAACCGTGTATCTGATCGCTAAAGTCTAAACTGTGAACTAGAAGCTCACCGGTTGGTAACAGATGGAACTTGCCGTCTGAAACACAAGTGATTGAACGTGATTTATTTGCGTCCTATCTTCTCATCTTTCAAACGAAACTATCGCTTCAGGAATACAACAGCCAAGAGACATTAACGAATTGAAGATAACAATGAATACTCTTATTTGCGAACAGACAAATGCATTAATAATTAAATCATGAAAACTACCATTCACTCTTTTGAACGTGACTATATTCGCTACCGCAGTAGATAGTGCCTTCGGTGAGTTATTTAAAGCGAGTTCGGCTAGTTGCTTGCGACACCCATTGCAACCGACATATATTTATATTGAGCGTGAAGGTATCTTGGTCGATTCGACCAGATTGCTATAATTAATCTTCTTGAATGAAGACTCACCGATATTCTGGAGTAGGACAGGCTTGCGCCACGCAGACTAATGACGTTGATTCATCTTGGCCGACGTGAACCACGCCGGAGTTTTCAAGAATCACTGGAGGCATCACCCCTCTGTGATCTGAAAGGGGGGTAAAAATGGTCCGCAGATCGATTAATGCGGCGGGTAATTGGAAAAAAACTTCGCCAATTTCACCGAGGTTGAAAAATCAGTTTCGCCAATGGGGTGAGTATTATTACCTGCTATCCTGACGTTGGCTACGGTACTGACGACCACCTGCCTGGTGAGACGATGCATCGTTCGACATCTATAACCGTGTATCTGATCGCTAAAGTCTAAACTGTGAACTAGAAGCTCACCGGTTGGTAACAGATGGAACTTGCCGTCTGAAACACAAGTGATTGAACGTGATTTATTTGCGTCCTATCTTCTCATCTTTCAAACGAAACTGTCGCTTCAGGAATACAACAGTCAAGAGACATTGACGAATTGAAGATAACAATGAATACTCTTATCGCGAACAGACAAATGCATTAATAATTAAATCATGAAAACCATACCATTCATTCTTTTGAACATGACTATGTTCGCTACCGCAGTAGATAGTGCCTTCGGTGAGTTATTTAAAGCGAGTTCGGCTAGTTGCTTGCGACACCCATTGCAACCGACATATATTTATATGTATATGTATATATACAATATAACGCGGACAACTTCCTAAGCTCTCTATATCATTCATATCTGTTCGGCAATAATTGGCCTGGTGTTTTCCAATAAACGGATACACGGATTCGCAGTTATCTTTAATAACTCTACCAGCATCGATGCACAAGCTATCGTTTGTTATTCGCGATATTTTTGTCCGACGCAGGGCGGGACGCGGCGTGCGGGTTTTACCCTTACGATAATTATGCTAATTCCGGGATTTACAGCGGCCTGTTCTGGATGACTGGCGGAGATACAATCTCTCCGTTCTTGCTGGGGCTTAAGCCCGTGCTCGTTCCTTAGATAAGCCCGAGCAACGTTAATGACGGTAATTATCCTAAATATTCGCAGTCGTTTCGCGAATACCCGCGGCCTCATCTTCTAAAATCTTTAACAAAGTTCGTGAATACATGATTATCTTACACTGACAAAATTTTATTACTTGTCCCGTAACTTTTTTCAGACTCATTGTATACTGTACATTCTTCGTTTCTAGTATTATTCGCAATGCTATAATTTCATACTTTAATATTTTCCTTACTGCGTGGTTAGATATTGTCTAAAAATAGCTTGTTATATTATTCGTTTTGTCATTTCTAGTGCTCACTACCATCCATGATTCTACCCCTTTCATTTCCTAACTTTTATGTTAACTAAAAGATGTGATTCATTTTTATTGGAACAGAAGTCGAATGGGTTTAAACGAAACCCGGTTCGTTCCTAGGAAAACAAAAAACATAACGACACCCTGCTTCATTTTTAATATTTCTTCAGTAAAGTTTAAGTTTAATCGGGCTTTTATCGGTATTGGCTTTAATTTTTCGTATCGATATGACAGTCGAACCAGACCACAGACGAGTGAGACACCAGAATCAGGTAAAAGGTTTACTCGTATATCTCGCCTGTGACTTTATATTCTTTATTTTCTTCTCAAACAATTATTTTATCCAGTGTTCTTCTCATGATGAACGTAGAAGAGCTAATAAATCTCAACTTTTTCTTGGAAAGCTGTTTGTTATAGAGAAGAGGTATTAAAAGAATGTAGAACTTTGTAGAAGAACGTAAGTAGAAGATTCACCACATCTTCCTCTCATTCTCTTTCGTCCTGATTCCCTCATTCTTCTTGGAAGATCGTTATTTATATCTTAAATTCTTTTAGTGCCGAGGGTAGAAGGATCACCGTACAACTTTTTCTATTTTTCTTCCCGTTTCCCTTCTTTCTTACTCTTGCTTAATTTTCGGAATACACGCGAATTTTTTGTTATCAATAATTATAAAAACTTTCTCTATTATTATCTCGCTGTTCTTTTTGTTGCTTGTCCGATACCGTCTTCAATTTTTTTCGCCCGTTATTCTTTCTTATTCGTTCCTCGTTAATACACGTCCCAATCCGTGGCACACGTTATTGCATCTACACAGCAAGAGCCATCGGCCACAAGACATTAGCAGAGCTAAGACCGGCTGAGATAAGCGACCCTCCTAAATAGCGATTGTCGGCCAAGTCAGCCAGCTTGAATGGGTTATGTAGTTTCGGTATTACACTCGATGCTACTATTACATGGCCGGTTCGTCCGCTAGGATCTATCCGAGGTAGATAGGCCTTGTATGTATCTCGGTCATATACAGGTGTACATACACGCGCGTATGTATTGTACCGGAGTTAGAGGAGGAACCGCCGGTGACTACCTCGAATTACGTGCAGTCTGACTATGGCGCTATTAGTAAGATGGATACGTTACGCTTACAGAAATATAGCGCCATACAATGGAAAAGGAACAAAAGCATCGCCCCCGATGTTGACCGCAAGAAATACGAGGTACACCAGGCACGAACCTCTGACTCGAAGACAGCGCGAAGAATTATTCGTACAAAGGAAACTGATCAGTGACAAATGGATAATAAAATATCACAACGCAAATTATATTTCCCTCTTGTCTTGCTTGCTATATTCCATCCATACTTTCACATTATTTACCATTTGCATTAAGTTAATCAATGTGAATGAAAAACTTCAAAGGTTTGCATTCCATAATAAAGATTGCGATTCATTTGCAAATAGCATCTGCTCCATGCGCCCGGAGAATTGTCATTTCGTAGAATTATATTAAGTATTCGGACTTAGAATCGTATCAGACATAAACGATAAAGAAAAGGAAGAGGGCAAGAACACGTTTGCGCTCTACGAAACAATGAGAACGGAAAACTGCATTGTACCGATACCGTTTTATCTGCGACGGCAACGTGCAAGGCGTTTTACTTTTAACAAGCCGTAAACGCGAACTGCGTACGTAACAGGAGTTTGCACTTTCGAGAGAGGTTGTGGTTGAACAATGTCGTTACACAAAAGATGATTCAATTGGCACACACTTACGCGAAGCAATTAAAATTTCTCGCTCGTTCTTCGTGACAATTTCGAGTTCTATGTTCACGAACAAATATTCGTCGATCCTCTGTAGGACGTAAAAAGACTACTCTTTAAAGGATACTTCTTCTGTAAAGATATTTAGGACATATTCATGATCCTCCTGTGTGCGCAAATTCCGGCGTGTACAAGATGAAATATGCAGTGGCTCGAGAAAGTATTCGAACGTTCACGTTTGCAAATTTTAATGAAGGAAATAACGTATGTTGATGAGTTTAACTAATTTATTTAAAACAATTCGGCATCTACAGTACAGAGGAAGTGATTTGAAAAAGATTCAACAATGTAAGTAGTAGTTATGATATATTTATTATAAACGCGCATAATGAGTGTCTCATGAAAGAAATATGTTCCGGTTTATGTATTATATTTCTTTTTTGTTTGCTGCATCTTCAGTTTTATGGGTATCGTCCCTGCCTGACAGCAAGTATATTGATTTATGTCAAGAGTATTATGACTCCAGGTAGAAAATGGGATTTCCGTCTAGTGAGCTTACGAGGACGATCGACGAAAACTGAACAGACATAAGGAGCCCGAGAAATTAAATTTCTCGTGGCCATATATATCCGGCACGCTGTACACGTCCCAGTCTTGATTCGGATATTGTGGATTGTGTACCTATGTACTGGATTTGTTACGTCTCTGTAGCTTACTAGGAATAAATGGCGGAACGAAATGCTTTTTGTAAAATCCTATTTTTTTCGAATACATTATTCAAATATTCGTATACGTGTATGCTCCTTGTTGAAACAAGCAAATCTGTCAGTGATCGTCGTTTCTTGAGATTCTAATAGCCATAGCGTGTTATAAATCAAAGGAAATGAAAACAGTATCCGTGACAGTAGCTTGATCTGTGGCGGTATCTTCCGCAATTTCCACTGGAGTGCTTTTCATCAGCCTCAATTTCCATAAGATCCCCGAGTACACGTATCTCGATTCGTTGAAATAGACGCCTGTCTCTAACACGTAACGCCTTGCACGTCTAGGATATGAGTTTGCTAAATAGCTACGTTGACAAGTTCACTAACAGATAATAGACGAAACGTGCCAAGGATCACGAGAGATTTGCCAGATTAGGATGCTCAAACCCACGGATCGTGAATACTAAAGAGATTGTCACGAAGTTTGATAACTAGGGACTCTTGGGAGGATCTGATCACCCTCTTGTTTTAAATTTGCTTATGTAACTAATGGTTGCACAAGTTTATACTTCCCTGCATCATTCTCTAATCTTATTTGGAATTAATAATCAAGATCCTACTCTCATTACCAAGTTTCTCCCACACCAATTGGTGTATATACAAATTTTTTAAACAGGTTTGCGGCGATAATAAAAGTCTCTGTTCTGAAGTTATTAACAATTCCTTTTTATTTACATTTATTTTTTGTCTGCCCAGCTGAATACAAATTTATCAAAATTCAAATGAAAGTTTTTTCTAGTAAGCACGCGCAGGCAGCAGACGCTAATAGGATCGTGAAAAATTCTAACTGGGAGGATAAACAAGCAGTGGAAGTGCAGAAAATTGCATTGGCAAAACATGGCAAGGACAGGAGAGCAGATAAGGAAGAGAGAGGTATGCGTAAAAAAACAAAACGCGACGCGGCGAATTTTATGTATTGCGCGATAACAGTGACGGGTTGAACGAGTTCACGGTGCGCCTATATCTTCATGTCGCAAACGCCGCTATGCTTTTTCCTGTATCTTTTTACACGGCCGCGTATAAAAGTTACGCTGCCACTCCCCACTCGAAAACCGAACGATAATGGCTCCTTGGATACGAGCCAGCTCTGTATTTTTTCTTCAACCCACCCCCCTCCCTCCCCCGCTTATCGACATTGAATATGCTCATCACTAGTCGACAGGACTGGTACAATTATAAAATTTGTCGATGCGTCGCGACGGAAGCACGGAGACGAAGGGTATGGGGGATCGAGGAACATAAGCGTGATAGTAGAAAGAATTCGTTAATCCGACGAGACGAGGAGGAAAATAATTACCAACGAATAGACAAGCACGAATGGCGAAAAGATCGTAAGATCATCCTCAAACGGTATTAACATCGCGACGCGACGCTGCGTCCAATTAAAAGGATTACTAATTAAGCTTACTAATTAATAGCGCAGGACCGGTGTGATATTACGTTTTAATTACCGAGTATCATCTTTTTCAATCTGTGTCGTATTCTGGCCAGGAGCGCTTCGGAACGGCAAGAACCGTCCGACGTTCTTAAATCCAATTAATTTCTACGACTATTAATGAGCGAGCCGCTCGACCGTTACTGAGGTCGATGTCCCCGACGATTCTCTCTTCTCGCGACCTACGCTAACCTACGCTCGGCAAGGGTGATGCGAGATTATTGTGGGTATTAAATTTCACTGTACAGGGCCGTGCTCTCTGTACGCCCGTAGCCGGATATTAAATTTTAGTCTCAGTAAGCAATGCCACCGCCCGGGCGTAACACTTCGTGCTATCTTCCCAGCTACAGTAACGTGCAAAAGTCTCAGGTTACTTGTATTACTGGTTTCGTATAAAGTATGCAAGTGTCGTCAACAACCACTCCCAGGTGCTATTACGTGAAAATTAATTTTTAGATATTGTCTTCCCTTTGGTTTATTTCTTACATTGTTATGGGTACTGTACGCTATGGACATCGATTTAATATTAAAAAAATTTAAAAGATAATGAAATGTTGTATTATCTAGAGTTTTTTAAAGTATTGTGTACCCATTACTTTTAGACCACTACAACTACTTCGTCGTTCAATTCAAGAATACTAATTGCCATTCCTTGCACTCAGTGTTATCATATAATTATAATTCTTCTTGATTCGTACAGCTACTCTGGCCGTGTTACAGCACCTGCGGCCCTGGAATCTCCCTTGAATTTCTATTGCTATCTCGTACCACGAAACAGGCTAGAATATTATATTTTGGTGGATAGTCGAAATTATTGATTGTACGATAGCGCGCAAGCTTTTCACGTATAGAATAATAGCGTTCAGGCAGCCATGCACCGAGCTCACTGGGGGGCTATTAGCCTGGTACATTCTTTCGGATATACGCGTTTTTATCCGTGTTTCAGAAAAATGTTGGGAAATTCTCTTGGTTCCATCTGTTCGAAGCTTGACTAACATTCCTTTTTTTATAATACTCGACAATTTATACAAGTATATTTCTTTTTATTATTATTAATTTTATTTTATCCTGATATGTAACACTTGTTAGCAATTTTATACATATATTGTATAAACCAAGTGCGCATACTCATCATTATTTATTTAAGAAAGGAGAAAAATATCTTACCTCCTTGTAGAGAAGGATAAATGTAAAAGGAGGGTTCTTGCAACCAGGACACCACCCTCACCAAATCCTTCACGAAGCTAGGAACGACGCATCGTAACACTGCGGTGCAACCTCTCGATGCACCCCCGATCACTTCAACGTCGACTTTGTATGCCTGGGCTACCACTGTAAAAAAACAAATAAACGTGAACTTATTTCTGTGCTTTAGCGTTACACACGATTAAAGTCATAGAAGGTACGGTAGTATAAAAAAATTTGTATTTCCATAAAAAAACATTTTTGTTACCAATGATGTGTCTTAAAATACATATTTTAGTGTATATATCCTGTAATTTCAGTAAATAGCATCAAGGCTCGAAGTCTGTAGTTATAATCTTTTGAAAGCTATTCAACGAAAAAAGCGTCAGCGGTAACCATTATAACTTCTGGACTTTTTATCTGATGTTTGTTTTCTGTTTCCGAAAACTTTTGATCAGTGTTGCTTTAAAAAATTGTATCGTTTCGTCTTAATTAAATTTTCGATGTACGTAGATTGTACCAGGAAATGTTATCATTTGAAAGGTTTCGTAAAATGATAGCCTGATAATTAATATACGTACCACGCGAGTGAGAATCGGAACCTGCTTCCATCTTTTTTTAGAAAAATTAACGATTTCCTTTAAAGTATCGACTGCCTCTTTCATATCGTGAAGGCTGATGATGGTAGCGTTCTTTGATCTTCGTCGATGCAAGATTAATCGAATAAATTCTGTGCTTCGACGGATTCTCACTTTTGATGCTTGCTGTATGTGCACGTTTATGCGTACGTGAACTTAGGTACAGCGTGTCAGGTCGTTATTCGTCGTCGACAACAGGGTGAATCTCGACGCCGCGGCGGCGAGGAAGGGCGCCGGGGAAGCGACTCGGCGAGGCGTGAGGCGATGCGAGCGTAACGAACGCCTGCCTCGTCCTCGACGTCTGCCGGTCGTTTTTCTCCTCTCCTTTTTTGTTTCTACCGTCACCCAGCCGCTCGAGAGGTACTATACTCCTCCGGAGATTTTATTTACGTGGAAATTCCAAGGGCGACGGCCAGCTGCTGGCGACACTGCATCCGCCCTGACACGCCGATGTGCGACGACGCGACAGCGACGAAGACACTCACCCGCGTTACGTTCCGCCTTATAAAACGGTGAATTTCTTCTTCTTTCATTCGCGGATAGTGTTGGGGACCGTTCACCCGAAACTCGCGACAACTCCTTTCCATTTTACTACCGCCCAATTCTCCTGTAACCGTTCGCTCGGTATTCCAATGCATTCCGTTCGTTCTCAACCTGTCGCGTTACCCGGTAACGATATTCGGTCAATTTTTCCGGCAACTCGAATTCCCGAACTCACCGCGGGGTTGAATGTTTTCCGGTAGCTATTCTAGGGAAACTAATAACGCATTGATCGAATCGCGCAAACCTGACACCGATGGAAATTCTTCTTGAAATGAAAACACTTAAACGCGGCTGCTGTCGAAAGCGATTCGAAATTGGAATCTCGTCGTGCATTCGAAGGACCTGGGTTTTACAGGGAAATCTGACCGACGCGATTGTTATAGGATCGAGATTAAATGTTTCAAGAGCGAAATTTTCGTTCCTTTTCTTTCTTTCTCTCTGCACTTTTCTGCAGTATCGCCCTTAGCACCGGGCAAATGAGGTACTTGTCC